TGTGTGTATAGAAAAAATATGGTTTTGAATGCTGGGTCAATGATTCAATTGTCAGTCTGCTACAGTTACCTTACAAACTGGGGACTCTCCTGGTGTGATTAGTCTTTTTCAACTTGGATGGATGGATGGATGGATGCTCATACTGCAGTCCTTTTAATTCATAGCTGTTAATGCTCATGCTATAGTACAATTGGGGAACTACGAAGAATGTGTACTTTTCAGAGCAACTCTATACAAAAACAGTATGTATGTAAGAAGAGACAACATTGTGTGGACTGTCTGAAGGCAGACATTTAATAATAGTGGTAGATATTAGTAATAGTGATATAAACTAATACTTCTCTCTACAACAGGAATGAAAGAATCTCAGCTGCTCCCAACTTGCCAAATGTTCAGTATTGACAAGACCAAAAGAATCACAAATGCTTTTGTACCTACATCAGTCACAATGCTTAATAATGAATTATCAAATATACTCATTCACTGTTTGTTTCCGAACAAAAAACTAAATGTTTATTTGATATTGCCCACATGACAAATATCTTTGTGTTTATTTACTTTCACTTGATCTTGACTTCAACAGAATGTCTATAGCCTATGTTGATACAAAAGGTGTGTGTGTGTCTGTGTGTCTGTCTCAGGTGGCTGTGACATTTGCGGTGGGGTCTGAGGTTGGCCTTCAGAGCAGCAGTGACTTCAGTCAGATGGGGAAACCTTTCCTAATGGGAACAGTGGCTCTGGGTGAGAACCAGCTATGTACAGTATTGCTCATTGTCTTTCTATTTGTCTACATCATTTCACCTTTCTGGGCCTCTGAATGTCTTTCTTTCTTCCTGTCCATGCTCCCTCTTCTACCATCCTTTCTTTTTTCAAGCCAAGAATAATGAAGGCTCATGATGGAAGATATTCCCCCACGCACCAGCCACCTGTAATTAGTGTTGCTAACCAGATTTGGAAAACTAAGATGTGTCAAGTTCACAACAAAGTGCCCAAAATGTGCTGCTCCATTAGAAAATACAAAGAGAGAAGCTCATTCGCTCAAGACTGAGGATCAGCTTTGTGGTCGTATCATCAGATCTGCAGCCATATGTCCAGGACGGGTGAAGCCAACTGATCCAAGAAAAGGACTTTCGGTTGGCCTCAATGAAGTTCTAGCAAACCGTCAAACGACTCAGGAAGGGAAAGCAGGGCTCGGCCCAGGCAGTGGTCAGCAGAGGAGGTGAACTGCTGACACTGACAGGGGATTTTTTTGTCCCTTTTTGGAAAGGGCAATCTGAGTAACTCCTGAACCCAACCAGTACGTGTCTTCTGTGGATGAGACAGAAGTGTAAATGAGATTCACCTTGAGATGCTGAGGGCTCTAGACATTGTTGGGCTGTCTTGGCTAACATGTCCCTTGTATGTCGCTCACAGTGTCGAGGTTGGAGACGCTGACTGTGGAATGGCATACGAGGGTAGTGGTTAAAATAATGGATCTAGGAGGTGTGCTCAAATTATCAGGGTATCACACTGCTCAGCATCTCTGGTAAAGCATATGCCATGGTGCTGTAAAGGAGGCAACGACCAAACTTCTGATCTTTTGTCATTTGAGATGTTAATTGTTGATCATAAATGCCCATCCAGGGGTCCTGGGGCCATTGCTTTGAGCCATCTGGTCCTTAGATAATTGAATAACTGGAGTGAGAGCTGTGTCACTGACTTTCATGACTGATTTTCATGGATAGGAGGGTAGACAGGGGTAGGCGACTATCTATTTGGGGACCTCTGAATTGCTTTTCAGCTCTTTACAGATGATGTGGGTCTGTGGACTGAACCGCGATCTTCAGCACACACACGGTTTGCAGTCAAATGTGAAGTGATTGGGCCAGCATCTCCAAGACTCCATGATCCTCTGCTGGAAAATGGTGGATTGCTCCCTCCAGGTTGAGTATGAGTTGCTGCCCCATGTTTAAGTACCTCAGGATCTTGTTTTTGAGTGAGGGTAAAATGGAGCATGAGATCAACAGACGGATTGGTGCGGCATCGGCACTGATGTGGGTGGTGAAGACTGAGCTCAGCTGGAACGTCAAAGCTTTCGATTTACAACTTGATCTACGTACCAGTGTGTATATCCATCCCTCCCATCTTTGGGGCCAAGGACACCCAAACGGCTGGCTGATGTGCTTGGCATTTGGTCACACAAGCAGTCAAGCACAGTGCATCCCTCTATTCTGTGCGTCGCCAGATGCTTCCCCCTTTAAATGCAACTTTTTATACATTTGTTGCACGTCCCACCCGGTCTTGTGAAGTACAGCCACACTTGACCATTTAGCATGGGATTTTAACTGTGTTTAAGGTAGCTACAAGCTAACGGTACCTGCTGCCAGAGCCGTGTAGAGAGAGTGCTGCCGTAATGCCAACTAGTGATGGCACATGCGGTGATGCCATTGTTGGCTGTAAAATCCACACCAGAGGGAAACTATTTCAATCGACAGCTCTGGTATTAGTGGCAACAAAATGAGGCACCAGAATCTGTGTTGTGATTTGGTCCAGTAGATGCTGGTCGTATAGGAAGGTATAGGTTTCGGTACCCAAACCTAGTCACCTCGACCCAGCCCTGGATAAGCAGCAAATAGATGGATGGACCATCAGCATGCACTTTGACTTTTGAATACACTTCTACACATTAGCTGTTGCAGCATAACAGGTTGTTGCTCTGTTTCTGTGGAGGCACTGACTGTACTTGTACCAGCATTACCAGAAGTTGTATCATTACTTCGGAGGAAGTAATGATACAAGGAGGATTTGAACATGCAAGCTGCTTTGTAGTCATGGCTAGTTGTGTGTTATTCTGAGAAAGTTATTCTGTTCAGGATTTGAAAGTCTCTCAAACACTGTTTAGGCTCTGAGGGGACTGGGCTTATTCACTGAAATCCAGACTAATACAATGCTTTTAGGTCAGCTCTATAAAGCAAGGAAGGACAGATTTCACTGCAGCTTATATAGCTGATCAGTAAAAAGTAGAACAATAACAAATGGTAGACCCTGAACAGTGGAGGAAAGTCTCATATATATCAGTATAGATCACACAAACTATATTTGGGCAATAATTTTAGTCAAGAAGTATTTTTGGTATCTGTAGATTTCCATAATGAAAATTTACATGTTTTACATGTCAATATGTATATGTTGATGTTGGACAATATGGCCTAAAATCTGTATTCTATGTGTCTTCAGTTTGATAATGGTAAACTCCATTATGATTCTCTCTTATGTTAGGTATCAATAATGATCATTTTCAATAATGAAAAGTAATTTATGCATTTGATTTATTCTGCAGCCGTACTAAGGTACCTCTAATATGATATTATCTTTCAAGCATGATATTGCTAGAAATGTGTTTAGATCATGTCAAGAAGAAGCCCACAGGTAGACATACTATATGAAGTTTTGTCTGCATGCAATAAAGAAAACATGGCAAATAACACACAGTCTGTAAGACTGACCTGCTATTGTGTTTTTGTGTCGACAGGGGGGATAGTAAACGTGATGCCTCTGCTCTTCTCGCAGATCTCTCACAACAAAACACAGGTAAATCTGGTCCTCTACTATACCCTGCACTGCAAGTATGCATTTCTGCTGCTGCAAATGTCTTTTTCAGAATAACATACTCTGAAACACTACAGAAGGTATCATCATCTCTAATATATGTATGTTTTAGGGTAATTGTCTCCAAAGTGTCTTTGAAGATACATTAAATTGCTTTTGCATTACATTCAGAGATTTGCATAAAACTGTCACTGACACTCCTAAAGAATTCTCTTCAGTATTGTTAAGTGTACGCTTTATGTGATGATCTGATAATTGCAATTGCAAAAGTATTGCAATTATATAATCATGTTGTCTTATTGTTTTACAAACTTCTGCTTGAGCAGGACGTTGGTCCCCATGTACTGTATTTTCTTTGTGTCCAGATCCTCTGGTTCCGGAGAGCAGTGCTTGGAGGTCTGACAACCTGCACTGTGCTCAACATCCTCTGGTAAGCACATCATTCTCTTACTGCGCTGCTCTTGAACTCCTTTATTAATAAACCTCCAGACAAGAAATTGTTATTAGCTTATACACAGTCATTCTCTTTTTTAGCCGTGTTCTGTTGCACGAAAAAAACATGTCCAACTGTACTGTCCTAAATGAAAAAACCCATCATGACAGAAATTCAGGCCAAGACTAAAATACAAAGAAAACATTATTTTACACCATACCATTTACCAGTTATTCTGAATCTAGTCCTGAACCTTGGCAGAGACCTTTTTCCCTGGGAGAGCATCTGGTGTATTGTCTCCCGGGAGGAGCACAACATCTTTTTTTCTGTGATTGACCGCCACAATGTCTCCACAGGGTCAAGGATTGTGGAGGCAGGGGGGCTTTGTTTAGGCACAGTAATCATTAGGTTTAAGCTTCCATATGTTCCATCCATCATGAGGAGGTTGTTTACTGTGTGGAAATTATAGTATATATATATATATATATATATATGATTTTACAAGTATTAAGAGTCCATTGTGCAATGTAATAGTAGAGGTAACAGCAGGCTTTGTGTATAGCAGATGTGAAACTGCTTGGTTAAGATAAAGGCTACCTACAAAGTGCGACTGGGCTGAAAAGGTACCTTTTAGGCCAGATGTGGAAATTCAGAAAATTCAGCTTTTGATACATGATAGACCGTGATTGACGTTGAGCAGCGTGGTCAGAAGATCTGCCGGACCATCTGGAAGACAGAGACATCGACTTTGGCAGGCCCCTCTGAGACTTTCAGCAGGGGTTTGAGGACAGCAGGCAGTAATGGCAGCCAGGATGGTATAACAAATCTGGTCCAGAGAGAAAGGAGGCCATCTGGCGTAACAACCAGCGACAGAGGACTCCTGATGCACCAGAGGGACCATCCACAATCTCTTGAATCCTGTTTTGCAACTGAAGGGCCTAAGACAGGTGCCTTTGGCTGGGGGGCTGTTAATTCCTGCCTTTGACATAGAAATAAGCCTCAGTGGTATGGAGTCAGACTGCACATGTTTACAATGATATTTAAACCTCATCCTATTTAAGTAAATATGGTTAGCAATCCTAGTGTGGCTATATGAACATAACAAATGTCATAATGGCGCTGATTCTGTTATTTTGTTTGCGGGTGTATGTTATAGGATATATGTGTGGGCGTGCAGTGTAGTGTGTAGTCTTTAGCTGCTTCATTTACATTAGGTAAACTACCTGCATATGGTGTTTTAATGACAAAGAGAAATGAATCATACACAAGACACTTTCATATTTTCTTCCATTGCACACACACACTTCTAGCAGCCCATCATACCAAAAACAAAACAAGAGTATTCATAGAAAACATTTTGCTTTATTGGTGGATATTTGGCTATGCATGTGTTGGTCTCTACTGAACTACTGAGAAAGAGAGCAGGTTTCATTAGAGAGAAAAGAAACAAATGAAATTTCAGGGACACTCCTGAGTCAATTTAGTAACCATGGGGAGTTCTACTCAGCCTGTGAAAACAGTTGTTTAATGTCCTTGAGAAGCTTTGTCAAGTTGGAGACAATTACTCAGGAATCTCAGCTTGGGCTTGGAGACAACAAACCGCTTAATGGAGAGCCTGCATTACCTGCTCCACATAAGGAGTTTAAACAACAACATCATTTACCAGGCAGGCAAGGTTTTCAGAAAATATGCTACCTAGTTGAATTATGCGAAGTGTAGGACATGGTTTCTCAACTGATGGGTTGCAACCCACTTTTGGGTCGCTGACTCATTCTGAATGGGTCTTAAGTGGCTATGTATTTTATATACTTAGCTAACTGATAATAAAAAAGGCAGTGATGACATTGTATACGTTAACTGGTCTATTTGAATAATA